TATGTAAGTATGTAAGTATGTAAGTATGTAAGTATGTAAGTATGTAAGTATGTAAGTATGTAAGTATGTAAGTATGTGAGTATGTAAGTATGTAAGTATGTAAGTATGTAAGTATGTAAGTATGTAATTATGTAATTATGTAATTATGTAATTATGTAATTATGTAATTATGTAATTATGTAATTATGTAATTATGTAATTATGTAATTATGTATGTAATTATGTATGGAATTATGTAATTATGTATGTATGTATGTATGTATGTATGTGTGCATGTATAGCCATTTTGGCTCAAGCCGCTTCGACGGCTCACGCCACGTCTCGCTCACGCATGCTTCCCGCACCTGTCGTCCCTGCAGCATGAGGGCCAGCGCCATCAAGAATCACGAGGACGTGCAGGCGGCAAAATTGTCGTCAAGGCTCGGGAGTCCGAGAACGAAACCTCCTTAACCAAACACACGAGGGTGGCACAACAAGGGGGCAATCCTTCTGGATGAGAAAGCAACAGTATGACTCGGATCACGGTTCCTTCGCTTATGCGTTTTTTTATTGTGCCTCCGCCATTCCATTTGAAGTTGCTCTTCGTGTAATTAGTGGAAGGCTGCGGCCGACTTCGACAAGGAGGATGACATTGCCGTGGCTCGTTGACCAGTTGGGCAGTGGCGGCTACCGGCAACGGCCTGCCAGACGGGAGGACAGCGAGAAGGACCGAGACATGCAAAACGGAGCTGAGAGAGACTGTACGGGCCATGGGCCGCCGTTCCCTCCGCCTGGAGGATGCAATGGGCGTGGTGAGCTTGGACGGTGAGTTCATATTCTCCATGCAGACGAAAGCCACGCGTAACGAGTTCTCCATCACTTCACAGCTCGACGGGACGGAGAGGCGGAGAGTTTGACCAACCCCATGTGAAACATACCTGATCTCGGCACTGCTAACGAAGGTTGGGGCCTTGGAGACGGACCCGAGCCTGATGAAGGCGCTCTCCGAAAGATGCCCTAGAACTTGGATTCGGACATCATCCAATTCTCGTTGGTCGCCCAGAATCGGACGGCACAGTCGCACCAGCTTTGCAATCTGATTAGCAGGCTGGCGAGGAAGCGGATCTAGCACCATGTGCCACCGTGATACCGGCCAAGCCCGGGAGGAGCCCATTGGCCAAATACCAGGATCGACCGCTTCAGAACCTTTCGCAGAGACTGTGTGTGGGGTTGTCATCAGCAACTCAGCCTTCCGCAGGGATGGGCAATCCCAGCTGACCAGAGGCAGCTTGCCTCAGGAGATCATTGAGCGGTCGGCTGTCTTGTAGTTATGCCACCACGCCTAGCACCTGAACTGCGCCGGCAGGTAGTGGATCAGGGTCATCTGTGGCCACTCATACTGCCGAGCCAGCTTCAACAGCATGCAGTTGCAGCATGTGCCAGTTTGCAAAGGCTAGTTAACCAGTGGCGCAACCAGGCGGCGCGACACGCCGTTATCTCACGCCTGACCTGCTTCCAGTCCAAGCGAACAGATTCGATGAGAATGGGTGCAAGGTTTTCGTGCTTATTAGCTTGAGCGTTGCAGTGTGCATCCCAACCTTCACCGGTGAGAATCTTCAGACAACCTCGCACCGACACAGAGCATTACCGAACGGCCCTGTGTGTGTGGCGGTGCCAGTGCGGACATGCGCAGCTGAGGACCGTCGTGTGATTCGTCAGAATTCGTATATCTGTGTTCTTCGGAAGTGCTGATGTGTGGCAGAGGTTCAGTCGGAGTGTCGATTCCCGCAGTGTGTTATATGGTGTTTTCGGTTTACTTGTTAGCTTGCGTCGGGGATACCAGGGCTGTTTTCCAAGCCCATAGGGGCACTTTTAAGCTGCCGATGACACGCCAGGTGGATCGGGTTGAGCTCTTGCCACCAGGGCAGTGTTTTATGTCTTGTTTTCTCGGCATACACCCCCACATGGCATCCGAGTGTGAGTGAGTGATGTAGGCACCGAACAACGGTGTGCAGCCTGATGAAGCTGCCGACTGTAAGTCGCCGGAGCAACACGAGGACTCTCTTGCGGCGAGGGAAGAAGAAGAAAGTACGGGTGTATGCGTGTACATGTGGCTGAAAAGCTTGCTTTAATAACCCCATCGACATTTGTTCTGATCATTCAGGCCTTCCATCGCGATTCGTTTCCTTGGGCCCAGGTCGTCCTTCAACTCGGCGGGATTCCAGCGGGATGTGGCTGATGCTTTGCAGTCGTCCCAAGCCGATGCCTTGGCTCTGATTCGATTCGGCCGGTATTGAGTTACTTGTGTTTCCGTGATGCTTTGATGTACTTTGTTTCTTGCATGTGCTTCAAATCCCCCATGCAGTCCAGTACTTTCTACCCCTTTAAGCGCCGCTTGGTCGTGCAGCCGGGATCGGGTAGGACGGCAGAATTGGTTTTCGCATGTGTGAAAGTCTGCAGCAGGCTGCAGGGAGAGCCGTAGCAGGCCGGGCATATGATTTCTCAAAGGTGTTTTGTGGGTCTAACAGTGCATGATTCAAGATTTGCAAGGCATGACCGGATGCTTGTGTGTCATGGCAAGACAGAGCGGACGCCCGGCAGGTTCCCTTTCTGTGGAGGGGATCACCGTGGCCCCAATTCTCCATAGCAGTGCAGCCACCTCGGTGTTTCCATCTCTTCCAGTATGTAGATCTGAAATCAGAAAGATGCATTCAAATCAGAAGGAAACACATCAACAGAATCATACGAATAATAGTGGTAAGGTGAATAAGGATCTGCACTGTTGTTGTCCTTCTGACACGACACACAGCAAATTTCAAAGGGTACTTGCTGTAGGGCTTTTGCCCCTCGAGGTTGGCTTGTCTGACCGAACGAGGTTTGCCATATTGCGAAGTGGAGGCATCTAATATGTGCATTTGCGGCTGTTTTCAACAATGTTTCGCCCGAGACTCCTGACCTAGCCATAAACGCCCCAAGCCATAATACGCTTGAGGCACATGAAACTCGAGACTCCCCGCAGTGTGCGAAGGTCAGAGAGACACCTTTGGAAATGATGGGGGTCACAGGCTGGCGCCTCTCTGAAGCTCCGAGCTCAAGGCACAGCTTAGGGCGCGCCATGCACGGTGTTTATGGCACATCACCCTCTCGAGCATCAGTCGTTTTATGTTATTGATTCTGTTGTTCAGATCGAGGGTTCAGGAAACGCGACACTGCGAAGAGGATCAGGAAGCGGGCCTCCATTGAGAGTTGGTAAACGAAGCATCCCTCGGATCCGACGACCGGTGGTTCGTCGCTAGACTCCTGAAGCCAAGCCCGTCAAAAGATGTCAAACGCCTCGACCGTACTAGATCTGAACAGAGCCTGACGTAGAGCTGAGACGTGAAGCCTGCCTAGGTCTTTCTCTTTATGGTTTTTGCCGGCAGCCCGGGGGTGGTGTGTCGCCACACGCGTGATCATCATCCTCCTCAGCTCCTCTTCAGTTTCATCATGTTCATCCGTGCTCCCATGGCCATCATGTCATCATCGCCTTCCTCCTCCTCCTCCTCCTCCTCCTCCTGCTCCTCCTCCTGCCCAGGCCCCTTTGTTATCGTCATGTTCATGTCTTTAGATCCTTCGACCGAGAAGGGCTGTATGCCAGAAATCCTGGTGAAGGGAGATCAGTGGTTCCAGAACACCATTTCAGGGTTGAGTTGTGTGTGCACTGGTACTTGGTGCAAGAGGCTTGAAGATTGAGCTTGTCCATGGTGTTGGCATAAATTGTGCCGCCGAGTTGTATGATTATCACAAAGCAAGACACAGAAATGACAATAACGCATATCACCCACTGCTGCTTGCAACTTGCGTAAGACCGTTGTTACGCGCCCTTCACAAAAGAGCGAGCTGCTTCTTGATTTGACAATGGTTGAATCCAGACAATATCGAGGCTCGAGGTGACCGCAAGGCTCAATTTCTTACGGTTCGTCACGTTGCAGAAGGGAATTCTCAACGCTATTACGGGGCACCTGAGCTGAGGTGATGACACTTTGTTGCTTGATCCCTTTGCTGTCCAGATATCTTTTTCAGCCGTAGCCCCAGCTTTCCAACTTCATGGTACTGGAGGGTGCCTGGCCAGGGCTTCGACTGATCGGCGAGGTCAGGCACTTGTTCTCAGAGTTACCTGTAGCCTCCGCACAAACGGATCTGCAGAGAAGCCACAAAAGCTGCAATTGCTACGCAGCGAGTTGGACACGCTTCCACCCTGCGACAACAAACTCTGCTGACTGGGAGAGGGGTGCACTTGTCCATTCTTCTCTGCGTCCGGCCTTTGACGACGTGGGTGCAGACTGTGGGTTGTCAATAAAGCCCGAAGCTTCGAAGCCCATCCTGCAACTCAAGCTTTTGCAGAAGCACGCCGCCTCCGCAAGTTCCTTGCCCCGAACCGCCTGAAGCTCCGACAACTTCAATGCAAGAAGCCAGCCTAAAGTCCCAAGCTTCCCAAACTCAGATACCCAAACCTCGCCAGCCTGAACCCCAAAGCCTCGAACCCCGCACATGGCCCCGAACACCCCAATCCCCGGACTCCTGGCCTCGAGCCAAACCGAATGAACCCAGGAGCTGGCTCTCCACACCAGCCTGGCACCGAGCTGCCAGGGATGATGACTCTATATGATTTTATGATCATTCATGATCTTATGGGCTTTCAATGGTCGCAGCCGTCTTCGTAGTAACAGTAGTTGCAGCAGTAGTAGTGGTGGCAGCAGCAGCAGCAGCAGAAGGAGTAGTAGTGGTAGTAATAGTAGT